AAACAGCATATACAGCAATGTCTTAGAAAAATAAGAGAGAGAGAGAGAGAGAGAGAGAGAGAGAGAGAGAGAGAGAAGGCGAGAAAGAGGCTTTGACCTAGCTTATTTCCTAAACTGGGGACTCTCGAAAGAAGAAGGTTTAGAGTGGCGTTCTGACTTCCAGCATTCCAGACAACACTGAATGATGGTGCCATGTTACTTCCCTTGTGCTATGCAGTCCCCAGATACATCAGATCTGAACCGGACCAGACAAAAAGGTGAGTATCTTCAAGGCCAGTCGCCCACCTCCCGTCTTTTCCAGCAGTCATCACGGGGACAGGATCACAAACTTCATTTACGCCCTGTCTGTGCTGCTCTTGGCCCACCGCAGCTGCAGCTGACACAGGACACTCTCCATGTGGTACCATGAGGACAGGTGTGCTGACCTTGTTCAAGATGAGCTGCACACTCCGCACCACACAGACATTTCAGGAGCTTAGAGCTCAGTACTATTTCCGGAAAAGGTCACTTCTAGTTGCTTATTCTTTGTGCTAATGGCTCAAAATCTAGACTAAGGCAAACTACCTGCACATATTGACTTCCAAATTTTCCAATTCTATGTATAAAATACAACAAAATATAAAGGGGCATATGAGCAAAAATGCTACAATGAAAACCAACACCTTGTATTTATTTTAAAATGGTTAATATTGTATCTCCCTTTCCCCCAGAATTCTATGTTCCCTAAAAACTTAAGATTTACTAAACAATATATTATCTTGAGATACAAAATCACAAAGAAATACCATTGATGAGCTATGCTTTTTAACCATTAATTTTTAGTTATTCACATCTCTATAGGTAAAGGTAATAAACATTAAAATATTAGTAGTTTTTAAAAAAGCAAGTACAATATGAGCTTCCAAAAGCAATTCTCCAACTGCAAGATCATCTTACTGCTTCAGTTTTAATACAAGCTTACCTGGAATCATCCCAATTCAGTTCCTTGAATTAAGGGTTCTTTGTTGTTGTTTTGTTTTAGTTCTTAGCATCATTATATCACATAAAACATTCACCACCTAAAATCCCATTTCCTACAGCCTGCGTACTTACATGGATACAAATCTCGTAGTCAATATAGGAGTGCCAAAAGTCCTCCTTCTGGATCCTGGGGTCTCGGACCCAGACACTTACGAACTCCTGTAAGGGCATGGTGAAAAGAACAGCGTCAGGGTTATGGGAAAGGCTGGAAGTAGCTGGGGCGACAGAGCTGGAAGTGCCAGCCAGTGTGCTCGCTGTCCCTCAGAAAACAAGAAGTAGAGACCATGAATCAGGTGTCACCAGAGTCCACAAAACACTTCACGCAAACGGAAACTTTAAATAATGCACAACGCAGCCAGGAGCTTAGTAGGGACAGGGTTCCTGGAATCTGAAGACAGTCAAGATAGATTCCAAAACTGATTCTTGATACTCAATCAAGAAAACTAAGTTCCCATTTGCCTCAGCTTTTCAATGCAGCACTTACTTATCTCATCTCAAATATCTATAGGGCCCATCTAGCAAATTATTTTCTAGGTCACAAATAAGAAAGAGTAACAAAGGTCACATGAAAAGCCAAGCACCTGGGACTACAACTGCCCAGCCCAGTCCGTCCGTCCGTCCGTCCCTCTCTCTCTCTCTCTCTCTCTCTCTCTCTCTCATACACACACACACACACACACACAGACTGTCTGACATCCTGTCTCACTGGGTGTCCTTAGGACCTGGGGCCTGTGAGAGCATGTCCCAAACGAGCTTATTTTTAATGTTTGCACTGTACTTCTCCCCCCTTTCAATGTTTGGGACACAGTCTCATGCTTCAGCCCAGGCTGACCTGGAACTATGTAACCCAAATTAGCCTTGAACTCACAGCCGTCTGAGCCACCACCTCCTCCCTCCTTTGGTCTTCCTTAGACTGGGCTTACCATGTCATGTGAGCCAGGCTAGCCTCAAACTCATGATTTTCCTGCTTCTATATCTCATTTTAAAAATCATTCAGATACAGAATAAAAATCAGGTAACGATACAGCAAAGCACTATACATTTTGGCCATAATATTTATTTGTTTGTTTATTTAATCTGTGTTATATGTGTTAAATTCTTTCCTGTGGTCCTTTTCACATATACAAAGCTTGGGGATTTTTTAAAATTTGTTTTTAATTATGTGTTGGGAGTGGGTATGTTTAGGAGAGTACAGTGCCCTTGGAGATCAGAAGGCATCAGATCCCCTGTAGATAGAGTTACAGATAGTTTTTGTTGTAATCCAGGCAAACCTGGCCCTGCCTCTCACCCACCTGCGCATGGCAGGTGTATGTACCCTGGCTCTTTAAAAGAAAGACTCCACCCACTTCCGTTCTCTTTCCCGGCTCTTTCCTGCTGTTCCCCTGCTCTTTTCCTGTCTCCCTCTTCTCTTCTGTCCTATCTCTGTCTCTCTGTCTCTTTACCTCTTTTCTCTTTCCTTCCCCTTTCCTCCCCTTTCTAATAAAACTTCTCACTAAGGTCTGGCTGCCTGGCATGTTTGTCCCCACATCGGTCACCCTCACCTGCCATGGAATCGGTTTTGAGCAGCTTAAGAACTGAACTCAGGTCCTCTGGCAAGAATGGTATGCATTACCAGGCTGGGGTGGCGCATGCCTTTAATCCCAGCACTTGGGAAGCAGAGATGAGTTCTGAGATGGCCAGGACTACTCAGAGAAACCCTGTCTTGGAAAACCAAAAAGAAAAAAAAATAGTAGTAATGGTAAGCACTGCACCATCCTCCAGCTCCCACACATGATTTTTGCAACCAGCCAATCAATCATTGGTGAATCCATGACTAGAAAGATTATAGGCAAGTTCTCCTGTGGAACTCTTCTGCTCTCTGGGGTTCTTTCCTACTTTTCTTTAATCAATCTGTTTGCTTGGCCAGCAGGAAGGGAGGGAGGGTTAGGGTTCACAGCTGTACCACCTGGAACACATCCAATCTCATCAGATAAGTAGGTTGGGAAGAGAAGAAAAGACCACAGTCTGCAGAAGACTGAACCCTGTCCAATGGGAAGAGAAGAAAAGACCACAGTCTGCAGAAGACCGAACCCCATCCAAGGCTCCATTCTGGCTTCCATGGGTTTTTCTTTCACACACACACACACACACACACACACACACACACACACACACTTATACTATATTCATGATATGTTACATAATATATATGCATTTATTGCACACATACATACATACATAATCATATTTGACTATGTTGGTGTAGAGATGCCTAATGTTTCAAAGCCTTTCTTTGACCTAAAAGTTCACTCTTCTAATTTTAAAAGAAATTAAAGCAGTTTCACTGGCCCTCAAAAGTAACATTGTCCTTGGCACTGTGCCTAACGGAGGACTGGGGGATGGCTCTGAGCCACCATGCCCCGTGGAAGCCACATTCTCACAGAAGGTGTCAGCAGAATCAGTTTTCCATGGAAGAGGAAGATGTTCTCAGATGAGTCAAATGGAAGACAACTATTTCCAGCCACTCAGTGTCACACATGAACAGCGGGTGGAAAACATGGGCCTGCTGTTGAAAAGGTGGGTCTCTGCACAGCAGCATAAACAAAGGGGAAGCTGGGCATGGTGGCTCACACCTATCCTCCTAGCTCAGGAGACAGAGGCAGGAATGCCATGAGTTCAAAGCCCATAGGCCAAAAACTGAGTTCCCAACCAGTCAGGTCTACAAGATGAGACTGGGCCTCAAAAGAAACCCACAGCCAACGAATGGAAGGAAGGGTAGACACCTGTGTCAACATAGCACACATGTGTGATCTGGGATGAAAGCAAGGAATGTCTCAACTGTAAGTCCCACTGTTTCTACAATGCCACATACGCCCAACCACACTGCATATTAGTAATCCACTCTGGTAACTCAGATAAGTGGTTCGGAAGTCAATACATAAATTATTTTTCTGGGTCGGGTGTTGGTGGCGCACACCTTTAGTCCCAGCACTCGGGAGGCAGAGGCAGGCAGATCTCTGTGAGTTCGAGGCCAGCAAGTGCCAGGATAGGTCTCCAGAGCTACACAGAGAAACCCTGTCTTGAAAAAAAAAAAAAAAATTTTTCTCACCCTGCTTCTTTGCTGTTGTCCTGTTGCTGGCATGCCTATGTTGAATGGAATTTCTAGTCACAAAACTACAAATAAATCCTGGCTCACCCACCTCCTAAAATTATTAATTCACCAAGCCTCACTTTCTGCCTCTGGAAATGAGAAGAATGTCTTTCCGATCTATATCAGCTGTTAGGTAGATCAAATATCAAAACACTGGGGAATGCTCCATTAAAACTAAGCAAATATAAAGCAAATCACACACAGGGAGAAGGCTTATCAACTCAGAGAGAGCATGGAGCCTTCCCGCAGGCACGGGCATTATGAAATAAGAAAATCTAATCCAGGCCTTGTGAGTGAGGAAAGGGAAACTAAAAACAGGATATACTGTATGAGAAAAGAATCAATTTTCAATAAAAGGGGAAAAGAAAGAAATAAAATCTAATCCAGGCCACTAGGATACACACCCATAATCCCAACACTCAGGTGCAAGAGGCAGCAGGGTCACCTCAGCTAGTTTCTACTTAGCTAGGCTAACCTGGTCTACTCTAGCGAGCACCAAGTCAGTCAGTAAGTCAGGGTTACATAGTGAGATTTGTCTCAAATCATCATCATCATCATCATCACCATCATCAATGGCCCTGCCTTCCTTCCGAGTTGGGATCTTACTATGTAACCCAGATTAGCTTTGAACCTGAACTCAGGCTCCCCACAACACACCTGCTTTTAGAAAAATATATATATATATATATATATATATATATATATATATATATGAGCCACAGAGAAACCCTGCCTCGGGGAAAAAAAGAAAAGAAAAAAAGGAAGGAAGGAAGGAAGGAAGGAAGGAAGGAACTTATTAACAAACACCCTAATAGTATAATTATTCAGCAAAGAGTGACCTAAGGTTGAACTGTACTTGTCCAATGTGTGCAAAGGGAGACACAGCACAGTGCCCAGCTCCGGGAAAGCCTCTCTTCCCACAGGCTGGAGCCTAATGTTTGCCTAGAGATGGACAAGTAATGTTTATTCTAAAACCATGCCAGAATACAGAAATGCATTTGTTGTTATTGTTTTGTGATAGGGGATGTCCTTCTGTATATATGTTTCTCTTATTGGTTGATGAATAAAACACTGTTTGGCAAATAGAGGCAGGAAGATAGGTGGGGCGAGGAGAGGAGGAGAATTCTGGGAAAGGTAGGCAAAGGGAGCCCACCAAGAGGAGTTACCATTTAGCCGCCAAAGGAGTAGCAGGTCCAGACGCTTCCTCCGGCAAGTCAAGACCACATGGAAATACATAGATGAGTAGAAATGGGTTAATAATTAAGACAGAGCTAGCCAATAAGAAGCCCTAGCCATTGGCCAACATGTTTTATAATTAATATAGTGTCTGTGTTTATTTGAGGCTGAGAAAGGCAGCAGGACCTGGCGGGACAAGAAAACCTCCAGCAACAGTTTTGTTTGTTTTTGAGACAGGGTTTCTCTGTGTAGCCCTGGTTGTCCCCGAACTACCTCACTGTGTAGACCAAGCTGGCGTTGAACTCACAGAGATCCTCCCGCCTCTGCCTCCCAAGCGCTGGGATTAAAGGTGTGTGCCACCGCCACCGCCACCGCCACCGCCACCGCCACCCCGGCCATTAGAAACATATCTTAAATGCCCACCCAGAATTCACTGGAGCACTAAACCTCTACATCATTCTTTAACACTGATTCCAGTCTAGGCCTCTACGCATTACACCAAGCCTCCAGCCTGACCCACCAGAAACCCATGAGTACCAAATGCCCATGCTCCCCACACCATTCTGTCCCTCAACTCAATAAACAGCACCCCACCAGCCCCTGCCAGTCTCAGTTCCCATGCCCAGACTTCTCCGATTGGCCACTCCAGCACACACTGGTCCACTCTATCAGACAAACCTTCCAAAAGCTTTCTCCTGTGTCTATACCCTCCCCACCTTACAGCTACGTGTGCCGTCAGCCACGCCCTTGAACAAGCTGGTCTTGCCACCTAGATTACTAAACCCAGGCCACTTCCTTTTTCTTTCTTTTTCTTCCTCTCTTTTTGCTCCCACATCCAATCATTTTTCAAACA